TTTATGAATAACATCATAACCTATATGAACATCTACCTATCACCCCCATAGAGAAAATTTTAGAAGAAAACCGCAGTATGATTACTGATAACCACGGTATTGGATAAAGCGGTTGTTTTCGATTTCAAATATATGCAGGTGTGCATGTAGTTGTGAGTATACATGGAAGGAAATCTCACATCCTTCTTCAATTAAATCGTTTGTGTCCTTTACTATCTTTTTTTTTGAGACAATATAGATTTCGTCCTCTTGCTTAAATAACTATAACTGTTAAATCACAATAATTCAGCTAAACCATTTATTAACTAGAATAGCAATTTGTAACGCTATTCAATTAGTTTAGTCAGGACAATACAAAAGAATAAGAATTGTACCAATGAGAATCATTTTTCATATCTGTTCTTCTTTACCACTGTGTTTTGTTGTTATTAGATAAAGTCTGATAACCTAGTATGAGTAATTTTGATATTTCAACTAGAATATGCACAAATAATAAAATGAAGATAAAAATATAGCATTGTAGTGGTAAATTAGAAATATCAGTGGTTAGTAATACAGTATAAGAAGTATGTAATTTTCCTTTTTTAGAACGGTTAGTCAAATCGCGGTTGCACAAAATTGAATTATTGAGTATGCACTATTTTTCTGACGCTTTTTGTTTTCATAAGAATGAAATCTAAAGAAATGCGTAAGGATGAAGACTATATCGTATCCTACTCTACGCATGATCTTTTATCAAAGATTTTTCAAATCATTACTCATTACGTAAGTATCATACGCGAGTAAATTGAACTAGTATGTAGTCCGTACGATGTCCCTCGAATAGCTATTAGCCTAGCCTTTGTAAAAAGTTCAGATGAAGCTGATTATTGCAGATCAATTTCCCTGAGTCAAGACTCTTTAAGAGAACTCGGGAAAACAGTAGTATATTTGATAGTGATTCTTGATTTGTTCTCAAGAATGCTTAAAGCAGCGCCAATTGTTCGAATCTGGATGGAACCATTGTTTTCATCAATATATAAATACTGTAGTAATCGCTACTGATTGACAATCGCATATAAACACCTTCTCAAAATCTCGCGATTTCATATAGTTTTTAAAAACCGAATAAATGATTTGATTACCCTGATCGAAAGAAAATTGCAGTTTCAGCGACCGTATTTTATTGCGATTGTTCTTTAAAATTGTTTTCGTGAGTATTGTCGAATACTAATACAAACAATGTTCCTAATTCGAACATCGTTTCCGAGGACATGAAAATTTTTCTTTTGTTCAAACAATTTTTGAAGAAACTTATACATTTTTCTAAATATTAATAAGTAGAGAAATCTCTACTGAATCAAATGACACAAAGAAATCATTCAATTATCTTGAAAATTAACTGAGTAGCATTGTTCATAATTTGAATAGGAAGCCAAAAAATGTTCCTTGATGAATGGCTCATCAGATTCGAATCTGATTGATTAATCTTTTGTAGGAAGAGTTCATCAGGTCCAAAAATTTCTAAACCCGGACCTGCACCTGATGGTTTCTAGTCGCAGACAATCAGATGTTCGATACAATATTGATGAAAAACGATAATTACAAGTAAGAATCAAACATAATTGAAATTGATTAAGTAAACTCATATGTTTCTTCTATATTATTATTGCGATGTAATACAATATTTTTTTTTTCATAATGTCTTTTCGAAAGTTCTTAAAACTATCCAGTTTTGTGATCTTTAATAAATCATGGATTGACCTTTGTCTCAAGTTTTTTCTTTTTGATACAAAAGAATTGAGTATTTTTTTTTTCTTCATCTCATTTCCTCTCTATTCAAAACAATTTTGATGAAACTATTTAATTTCTTGCACATGAGCGGTGATTTGAATCATTATATCCTTTCAAAAAGTAACTTTCTTTTTCTTTTTCAATATAGATCTACATTCATTGTGAATATAAGCACTCCGGAAGCATTATATCAAACACTTATTCTTCTTATATAAAATAACACATGTGTCGGACAAAGCGGAAATTTAGGTAAAATTAAATAATTTTCAAGAGATTTAAAAACAAAACAATATGAGAATAACACAGTTCGCGAGTATATTCAATTGAAATCTAGTTTTTCTTAGCAAGCACCAATCAAAAAAAAGAAACAAAAAATCTTTAAGCTCATGTTTTATTTGAATGGCATTTTTTTTTTATCAATTCTTATTTATCTTCCACTATGACTTGAGTCATAGATGATATTTAGAGAATGAATATATTATGTTGTTAAATTTTATTGAGTTATGTTCCAACCAAAAACAATGAAAGATTTTTTAGTTTATGTATCCTCTCTGGTAGAATAGTGAATGTCTTATTCCGAGCTTTGATGCTTCAAAATTAATCTTTTAATTTGCCTGTTCATAAAAGTACTTTCTAAGGTTATTTTCTAATTGCGACGCAGAAGTCATTCGTGCATAAATTAGTATATGCACTAAGGAAAATGAAAACTCAATTTACTTAAAAATAACAATGACGTGCTATATTCTCTTAATGGAAATGAAAATTGGAATTATCTTGTAGTTTAGCACCTGATATAAAACATAATTTGCCTAAAATTCAATATTATCTGTGACACATACATATTTAAATTGAAAAAAAAACTAAGATGAATCAAACAACAGTAACAATTTGTTTGATTTTGCAATCATTTATTTAATTGAATTCATTTGTGTTTGATTCTTACTTGCAGTTATCGTCTTATGTTGAATATTCGACTGTTTACAATTCTTTATTAAAATTTTCTACGACTTATTTTTATAATAAAAGGATGTAGGCATAGGATAAGTTTTTATAATTTTGATTGATACGAAATTATGATTGAGTTATCACAGTTTATCATTTAATAATACCACCATAATTTTGAATTGATAGTACTGATAGAAAAAAAGAAACTCTGTTTGCTTTAAACCACTGGAAATTGATGGGCCATTCATCAGGGAACATTTTTCGCTTATTATTCAAATTGGGAAATGTTCCTAATAAAGACAAATTCAATTAGTCACAAATTACTGCTGATTACTCAACTAATTTTCAAGATAATTGAATGATTTTTGTATTGTTTGATACACCAGACATTTTTCTACTGAATTATATTAAAAAACAAAAATTTTCTTGTTTTCGAACAAGTTGTTCGACACCTTAAACGTATAAAACTTGACTTAAACATTTTCAAAATCACAAGAATTGTCATTTATTAGTATTCAAAAACTACTTCACAACAAGATATTTCAATAGTAGATATGTATTTATCTTACATGAGGATTGCATTAAAATAGTAGTTATTCTCTTAAATGATAATGAAACTCAATGTCATTGACAACTTCGATCATATTTCAATTTTTATCTACATATCATAGAATGTGTTAATCATTGATAGAACTAATATGATAATTAGTTTATTCAAAATCGAAGTTCTATGAAAATAATATGACATTAATAATTATTCGTATATCAATCATATTCACTCATATGAACCTTATTTGCATTAATGATGCTATGTATCATATCAATATTTGACTTTTTGACAAGTTTGATATAATTTCATGTTAGTGATGTGTTCATAAGTGCATGAAGTTCTCCCTATCACTCATTACTTTTATTTAGTAAAATAATGAATCAATTTTTCACTTGTAAATTGTGCGCAAAAACCTCACTATATATACATTTAGGGTACTAGGAAATTAGTACGTTATCAGACGCTAAATTTCATCGAACTACTCGATTATTATTGTTTACCCATTCATCAATAGTCTCAACTCGAATGACTTAAGATCATATATAGATCCGACTTTATCATTTCGTGCATTAAAAAACTGAACTAACTAATATATTAACTTCTCTAGTAGGATGGTGATGATACTTCACATTAGTCATTCATATTATTTAATCCTAGAAAGATCATCCCAGATGAATATACTCATCCAACGAGTACGACTTGTTACCATGAATAATAATTTTTTCACAGGATATTTAGTAAAACCATTATGTTCTAGGAGGTACAAAAAATAAATTGAAATATCAATAAAAAGAAATACCTGTATGATTTACTTATTTCTTTTTCTAATATATGATTTCTACATTACTAATTTGATGAATGGTGACTTTGAGAAAAGAAAAAAAGAAAATGAGAATTTTTCATTCTCAAATGTTCATTTCTTAAGTGCATTTGAAATACTAGTTTAGACATATTAATGAAAACTCATTCTAATTACATTTTTAAAATTTAAATCATTTTTTTTTTTGAAAATAAAATTTGAATAGTTTGTTTATATTTATATACTAAAAATTAAGAAAATATATAACATTATTTCTATTCTTTATTTTAAAAAAAGAAGACAATATGAAGATAAAATGATATGTTCAGTTGTTTTGCTTAAATTTTATATGTATGCCTTTTTTTTTTTGTTTTTCAATAATAATTTTATATTTCAAATGTAATAGATGTAGTATAATAACACTGAACAGAATACAAATCTACGAATATTTTACATCAATTAGTATCGTACAAAAAAGAAAAAGAAATAACACAAGTATACTCTTTCAAAATTTAATATTACAGAAGACGTGCTCAAATGTCTTATTCAGATCTCCGTAGAAGCATTGCTAATGAGTAGCTAAAAACCATAAGCATCTACGAGATTTTCTAGTGTGAATACATAATGAGCGCTCGTCAATGAATACCTTCACTATAGAAATCTTTCACTCATATATGTTACTTTAGGCTCAAATTTCTGAAATAATTAAAACTCTTCGAACTTTAGATATAGAATCATAAAGGAACAGTTAAAAAGAATAATTATCTAGAATACAGATATTTCTATCGTTTTATATAGAATATTTTGTTACTATCTTGACCAAATGTTGATCCTATTCAATATAATGTTTAAAGAGAATTTTAAAAAAATGACAATATAGACAGATCATACTGTTACACCAGTTTAGAACAAAAATAAAATATTCAATAATTTTTAAGAAAGAAGTTCATTATCATTAGATAAGTTTTCTTGTTGTCGATGTTTTGATAATGAAATATCCGTACTGCTAGCCATTGAACGTCTTATTACCCATTCACGATAAAATCTATTAATAAGAAATGTATCATGCCAACACCAACACCATCGACTATATAAATTAATCCAAAGTAAAGTAAGAAACACGATTATCATAAAAACAATGCCTGATATATAAATAACATTAATTACAGTACGTGAACGAGCTGTTGATAGAGATAATGATGATGATGATGATGATGATGATGATGATGATGATATGATAAAAGAATATAGTTTTGTGCTATTATCGAATATTTGTTTTTGTTGTTGTTCATTCATGTTTTTTACTTAATGCTCATTTGAATCTTGTCGAAATAACGTCATAGATATTTAATAAAATGTTTGATCGGTCGTTTGTCAGTAATTGTATCATATTCTCGATGCGAGAGTTTGAGAAGAAAAAAAAAGAATTTATGACCGAATCACACTAGATTGATTTTTGTATGCCTGGATATATATATATATATGTGAAAATGATTCCGATTGTTGATCAAAAAAATAAAGAAAATAAGTTGTGAGTAATCTTATCTAATCTAATTTTTTGTTTGATGTTCTTTTTCGTTATTTGATGTGATGTATGCTGACGCGCTGTACTCGCCGATTAGTTCTATTTTCTTTTTCGCCATATATATATATATATATATAATGAAAAAGAAGAAAAAGAAAGGAACATGTTAATAGAGAAAGACGCAGAAACAAGAAAAAAAACTCTTCATATAACTGACAGCAACTTCCTTCTATTTTTTTTTTGTTCTTTTCTCTTTTTATTCTGGTCACAAGTCATCAACGAAAAGAAAAAAAAACGAGACTAGATAAATGATTAAGAATAACAACAGATAGAAAAGATTTCAGTGAATTGACATTGTAAATATTCTTGTATAAATAATCATGTAATATTGTAGATATATATTCATTTTTTTGTGGTCGACTGCTCGAACCATAATAGTACTATTGTATTACTAATGAGAGTATTGTCAATAGTTTCGTGACTATGTTCTCATTAATATTTTTCTTTATTGCTTGTAATGATCTACGAGGCATATATGCTGCACATGTCAAGAACTATTGTTCTTCAAATAAAGAACAAGAAAAAAAGTAACCCTCCCCCTAACACATACAATTGGCCAATCTGAAAAAAGCCATTATTTCAATGATTAAAAACTAAAGAAATCAATGCCTCTAGAGCAATCAAATATTGATTATTTGTGAATTTTTAAAATATTTATGTACCTGAAATAAACAGAATATTTCTCTATCAAAATACATTCATGAATTTTATATATAAAAGTTATTAAAGTGAAGAATGTACCGAGTAAATAGAATATGATCTCTTTTAATAGGATGTTTTATTTGTATGTTTTTGCCATATATATAAACTGATATTTATTCTATTTCAGTGCACTGATAAATAAACGGAATATAGATTGGATCGTAAAAAGAAAGTTTATGTCGGAAGTGTGTGTGTAAAATAAATTGACTAAATGAGTATACAAATAGTACGTGACCCGTTTTAGTAAATCGACAATCGATTGACTGACTTGTCTATGCCCAAGCAAACTTTGAAAAAACATACAATGGGCGCGATAAGTAGACAAAAGGAAGTAATGGTAGTTTCATTTCACGAAATTAGGATCAAGTAACACTTGCTAATTAGTGAAAATATCCTTTTGAGATTTTTTTTCTTAAGTCAAAAATTTTGTACCTGAAGTATCTCTGAGAGATCGGAAAAGATTTCCCATATTTAAAGTTGTATCGGTTCTCGTCGCACACGACAATATGTCACATGGGTCAAAGTTTTATGACCCAATCCAAGTTGAACTCTGATACAGACTACTTTTCTCTTGAGAAAATCAATTTCTCAACCTTTTGTTTTTCTTTCTTTCATTTCGTAGTTGGAAACAAAGGATATATCCTTGATATTTTGCAGATATTCCATATTTAGAACAACATGATTATATGATAGAATTTTTGCTTGTTTATCTTTGTTTTCTTATGTATACAATCTGCGATCTCTATATTATCATTGAACAGACAGTACATCCGCTATGCATTGTTGTCCAATGTCAATAAAGAAAAGTCGATGGAATAGAAGAAAATAAATCATTTTAGAAAAGAATTTATTGAGAATGAATATAATCTGTGAAAGAAATGTAATTGCCTTTTTTTCATAAAAGATGAACTATTAAAAACTTTTTTAAAAAAGATTTTTATTAACATATTTCGATAAATTTCTTTTTTTGTTTTGTAAAATAATCGAAGTTAAAGTTCAGAAAATTAATTCTTTATTTTTTCCGTTGGATACTTATTAGAATAAAAAGATCAATTTTCATAACAAATATTTTACAGATGATTGATTACTATGTAAAGTTTAATTTACTGTTTCTAAATATAGAAATCATTAGAGATAGGGAAAGATTAATAGAATTTATTTGAAATTAATTGCAGCTATTTAATACTATTGGATTTATCTGAGCGTATCTTTAATAGTATACAATAACATCGTAGAAAACATTTTAATAACAATGTATTTTTTGATATTATTGAGCACTTAGCTGAAATTCAGATGATTATTTGAATAACTGATAGAGTTTTCTATACCAAAATTTCATAGATGAACTATGATGACAAGGTTTCTAAAAAAAACCGGATACGGTAATTTTTAGATCCCAGAAGTTGTTTTTTAACGATGCTATTTTAAAGAGCATAAAATCAGAGTTCGTTGAATTTTCTACGATCTTTCATTAAAAAGTTAAAAGTATCACAAAAAACTGAAAAGTGCATTTTTTAGTTGATTTTTTGATAAATTTCGTTTTTGTTTAACTTTTCAAGGATAAGTTGTAGAAGATGTGCCCATCCCTAATTGTGTTCTCTTTAAAATGGCATTGTTAAAAAATAGCTTCTGAGGCTCGAAAACTACTGTGTCTGGCTTCTGTATCAAAAGAGAGGTATAGTTCTAAAGAGTCAGCATCCATCTTCAGCAAGGTACCTCGTTTCAGTCTAGTTTCTCTCGTTTGATTGTGGGAATCATCTAACATCGAGTCATCGACCTATCGGGAGCTGAAATCGGCATGTCGAAATGCCTATCGACTGGTCGGTTGGAACTAGTACTTGTTTTTATCTTTGTTTTCAGTAATTTCCCGGTTAAATAGTCACTACAAACTGAATTATTCTATTCTCACATTTTGAATGGCTAACCTCAAAAAAAAAAAGGGAAAACAATACTAATTATTTAGAACCCGCTCGCTATAATTAAACGGTTAAGTGTTTCGACGCATACTTTCAAGGTACTATGTTCGAACTTCGATACAATCAAATATAGAGTGACTCTTCATACAAACGACTGTTTATCTAACAATACAAGATTTCGATTGATTAAATGTTCTCAATATGACCTTCATTTATTTTTCAAAGATATATTCTGACCAATGGATTAATCTCTTATCTTTTGTTTTCATTTCAATTTTATTACACGACTGTCTTCAGTACTCTACTATTACAATTGTTCATATTATGAATCTATCCTAAGACATTCCAATAGGTAATAGAATCGTTAAATAATATTTGGATGACTCTTGAGACACGACGAAATAATATTACTCTACAACATACTACACCTATAATGGCTTGTTAAACCTAACATAATTTTTTCTCATTTCTTTTTTGACATATTTTCATGCTTCTTCCGATTAAATCAGTCATGTGTAACCATACAATTAAACATAAATGGCGAGAAAAGATTCGAAGATATGCATTTAATATTATGACCCATACGTTTATTTAGTTAAACAATATTTTTTTTCTATTATATTAAAGTCAATAAAACATTAGTGTTTTTAATAATATGTATCAAGACAGAAATTATGGTAGAAATTGGATACCAACAGTAAATAATGCAAGGTATTAAAGCAGCATACACATTTATTTTCATAATTTTGTTTTTTATTTTATTTTATAGACGTATTGATCCATATAGTCGAATATATATTATATTAGGTAGTTTCGTTGTAGTTGGTTTCATTTTGATTGTTATTGTTGTTCTATCACTAATTCCACTTTATATATCTCGTAATTTTTCAAGAATTAATAATAATAATAATATTCAAGTGTCAAGTAATTCGTTTTTTTTTTGTGCTTGTATTTTATTTCTAAATAATTTTTTCCTTTTTAAAATTTAGAAATTTCTATAAATGCTTATAATCTTCAAATTCAATCTCTATTTGATAATTTTAATCCTCAGACAATTCTTTCACAAAACAATAATCGACAAAGATTACAAGCAGCACTTACAACAATGATACAACAAGATTCAATATTAAGTGGTTCAATTATTGAAATAAATACTTCATCAGAAAAATCTAATCGTCAACGTCAACAAACATCTAATTTATTTAATATAACATTTGATTTAAATATAATTAGTAATAAATCTTGTTTATCAATATCATGTTTAAATGAATTTCAATCTCATGTTATTAATTTATTATCAAATTCAAATAAGAAAACATCTCGAATTCGTTATGAACAATTGAATTCAACACAAATCTATTGGTTATATTATTATCGATTATCACAAACAATACAATCGAGTAAGATTTCTTATTTAGTAAAACAAAATAATATAAAAAAATTAAGTTATATTATTTTAGATGCATCATTTGTATATGTTAATCTTAAAACAATATCATCTTTATTAGATACATTAATCTTAATAGATAGAACTCAAAATCAATTATCAATTGAAAATTCAACAACAAATTTATTTAGTTAAATATTTCATTCTATATATCCCAGTGAAAAATATTCATCAAAAAAAAAAAACTGCAAAGAAGGGGTTCCACTTTCGTAGAAAAGTTTTTTAAAGAAAAACAACGTTTTGCTATAAAAGTGGAATGCGTTCTTGACCATTCCATTTCGGAATGCATTTCTAGTTTTCCTAGAACGTTTTCTTTTCTTTTCTTAAAAAAAAGCTAAGTTTGTTTTTTGAAACGCGTTCTTGGTCATTATCACTTAGATTCACATTCCTTACAAGAATTGTGGAAGAGAAGTAAGTGAAGTTAACACATGATTTGTTGAGAGATCTGCTCTAGTACAACTCGACGAACTGTGTCCAAGGGTGTGCTCCGATTTTTCGTAGTTGAAACTATTATTCGAAATATTTTGTTTAAAAATCAGGGCTGTCAGCTGTGGGATACAATTCATCAATGTTCCACCATTTTTGGCGTCATTTTCAATGTGTTGTGCCCTAGAGCTGTCAATTTTGAATCAAAATCGATGTTGAATCCAGATGAAGCGTTCAACAATTTAGAGGAACGCTGGAGAATACGGTCTTTTTTTTCTAAGAATGACGTTAGAAAATCTGAAATGCATTCATCAGTTCAAAGAAACCATTCTCAGGTGTTCCTCTAGAGAACGTTCAAGAAAACAATGTCATTTTGATAGAACTCTATCCTGATCGTTTCAAACAAGAATGAATAGAAACTCATTCTATCGGTTTATGGAACGGTTCAGAACGATTTCTATCAAGATAGAGACGGCTTTTGGGCTGAGAAGAAAGCATTCCGTAATAATGCGGAACAGCAAACAATGCGTTCCTTTAGACTCAACATGTTTGTTTTCGTTTATGAACGCGTTCTTTGCCAGTTTTTTTAATAAATATTTTTCACTGGGTATATATATTTTATTCAGATAAAAGAAAAAATTCTTCACAAAAATTTCAACTTTATGAAATAAGTATTTTTTTGGATATATTATGTTGTTTTATAAGGCATTAGAAATAAAATTTTCTATACACATCACTATATAAATTCTTATTAGTGTTTACAATAGTGAAAAAAAATTGAAAATAAACTTCGTCGAATAGTTTTGGGAGTAACCGTATTTATACAGCTGTTTTCAAAAAAAAACTTGCAGATCTTGTTATACAAATATAACTTATATATATATATGTCACTGTCAAGTAGTTTCGTATACTGGCTGATAGCCTATGACGAGTACTATTACACGCTATGTCTTAGTATTTTATTCTTTCGCCTTTAGAAGTAATAAGAGACAAACATTTTTTTTCCTGGATATTACACAATTATCATAAACATTTTTGAATTCTTAAGATAAAAAAGCTCGAGTTCATCAATATTTTTGATAGGATTGACATCTAGACTATTAGATGGCCACTCTAATAATTGTGGTACATTGCTGTTGATGAATCGTCTAGTAATATCGCTAGTATGTTTCGAATCATTATCCTGTTATAAATGCCAATTTTGACGAAATTGTTCTAAAACGAAGAAAAAAACAGAAAGACTGCATTGTTTTCCTTCATTATTTACATCTAGCAGCGGAAAGAAGATAATTTTCAAGGATATGAACATAGAATGGATCGTCAGGATTGCAACTGAACGTATGTGGATCAATATATCTCTCACACTAACAACATCCAACCCATGAACTTTTTGACGACTTTTAGATATACATTTTAATTCATCATTTGGATGTTTTGCCCAACGACGAACAGTGTTACGAAAAAGTTGAAAGGAAGATTCATCAGTAAATATTATACGTGAAAAATCATCATTTTGATGTTGTTGAGCCCATTGAATATGTCGTTTTTTTCTTCAAGCTTTAACATATAAGTACTTTTTGGTAAAACATTCCTATAACCATATTCATGAAGATGATGATATATTGTTGGGTATTTGTGAAAGACGCGAACACCCCCCAAAATGGGAACTGATCTTATCATCGGATAGAGCTCAGCGAGCTGATTCTACGAATACCCAAAACAATTGAATATTAAAGTAATTGTTCAATGTACGCTGTTTTTTCAAATCTATGAATATCCACAAACACCCATTTCTTTTGACAGTGAGTAGCCCTACTCGAGTTAGGTACATGTTCAAAATTTCGGCCTTTTATATGTTTGCGTAAGAAGCATAGCACGGACCTACTTTAAGCCTTATAATCGAATTTGGAATAACATTTAAGAAATTCAAGTATAAGGCTTAAAATTGAAAAAGTAGGTCCGTGCTATTTTTCTTATGCAAGCATATAAAAGGCTGAAATTTTGGACATGTACCTAACTCGAATAGGGCTCCTCATTGGCAAAAGATATGGGTGGGCGTAGATTTGAAAAAACAGCGTGCATTGAACAATTACATGAATATTCAATTGCTTTGGGTATTCGTAGAATCAGCTTGCTAAGCTCTATCCGCTGATAAGGTCAGTTTCCGTTTCGGAAGTGTTTTCCCTTTGATTTCTTTAAGGGTTATCGCATTGTGACGTAGAATATATTGATCAATAGCTTTTTTTTCTATTCCATTAAAGACACGTGGTCAACGATCTTCGCCTCGATATTTAAGTGAATTTGTTTGTTTCACTTTATTAATATTGTTATAGATAGTCCTTAGTGGAATATTTGTTTTATAATGAATAACATGAGCAGATCGTACGCCTTTGTTCCAATAATATAATATTGATATATGATAGTTTTTTAAATCATTAGATGATGTCATGATTAAATGTATATGTATCGAAAAAAAAAGAAATCACACTTCTATATGGTCAACGCGTAATACAGCTAATGAACATATATCCTTGAAAACATGAATTTCGTAATTTCTTTCTAATAACAAGAAAATCGTTACATAAAAAATTTAATTTTGTGCAAGTTTTTTTTTGAACACAGCTGTATGTAGGTTTTTTTTCAACAAAATTCAATATGCATTTTGCATTAATTAATATTTCGTAATAAACTTCTACTTGACAAAAATTAAAATCAAAATTTTGTTATTCATTATACAAATTTGCATTGATTGTTAAAAATTTTATTTGACTTAATAGATATAACGGTTATTAATGAAGTAAAAACATAATAATAAAAAATATTTCCTACTATAAAAATAGAAGAGTAGATATCCATTCTCGACAATTAACTTCGAAAAATGAGTTCAACCATTGTTTCTCGATGTATATCAACATTTATCTAATTCCATTCTTTTCTTATGCATTAGTAACAAAAAGAAAGAGAATTTTTCAGAGCTTAAAATTTATAAAATTAATTACTATGACGATTCTAAAAACGATTCTCTTTTCTACTCGTTTACCTTCTTTCGATATTATCCCGTTTCACTGACAAGTTAAGATTCAATTTGAGTATTTATCTTTTTGAAAACTGATAGAGCACTGTTGAGATGGATCACTACTACGTGTTTTACAAGTGATAATTCAAACGAATAGGAGTATGTTATCTTTCCGTTTCATCAAAACTCTCTAAATTAGCGCTTTTCATCTACGCAGTGTTTTTTTTTTCAGAATTTTACTAAAGAAATAAACTAATGACACTATCCGATATTTTTAAAGCGAACGTTACCGTCAGTAGAACGACCAGAAAAACGCTTTCGATTAGCGCGTGCGACTGCTGAATTAAAAGTGTTGATGTAACGTGATCAACTCTATGAATATTGGTATGGATGCCGGTGAAGGGTAAGAAGACACTCATATCCTTAAATTTTAATAAGCAGGTAGTGATTCTTGGTATTCTCTATTACTTGTGCTTTAACTTATCGACCAGCTGGGAAATTTCTCTAGTTAGTCTTAAATAGTCGATGAAACGGGATTGAATCCTTATTTCTATATAATTAGTATTCTATGTCATTTACATGTCAATGATATACACCTTGACTTTTCATAAGCCCTTTTCCCAATTTCTCACAAATAATCAGAACTCGATACCGTCTGCCATATTTAGTCAAATAAGAGAAGATGGCCGGTACAGTTTAAATGGTGCTGCACGATGAAAAATTTGTCGCCTGTATACACACTAAAAATGCAACGAACCGGAACTCCGGTTTGGATTTCGAGTACTACCCAACGTTCATAGACATTATGCATGTATGCATGAACAATATATTTAAAATTTAAAAATAAATATTTCGTAATAAAAAAATTGAAAAACGTAAATTAACAAATGAACAAAGACGTGAAAATAAAAGATCAAGTTGAAATTTATCTTTATCAGTTAAAAAACTTTTAATTAATTCAAAACGTTTTGATTTTGTTAAATTTAAAAGTATATTGAAAATTATTTCAGCATCATTATATGATGAATTTGATTTATATAATAATGGTAATTCATGTAATAAATCTGTTGGAATATCTGTTTGAAAAATATTTTCTAGATTATTTAATCGACGTAAATAATCAAGTTTCATATCAGAAGATATACGACGCCATTGTTGTATAAATTCTGTTATATTTTTTGGTATAGAAAATATTATTTGATGATTTGTTATTGGTTCAGATGGTATCATTGTTTCTGAAGATGATGAATAAGAATCTTTTGTAGCTGATTGATTCCATGCTATAGATTGTCGTTCTAATGTTAATGTTTCATTTCGATCAAGTGGACGTAAATGTGCAGCTTCAACAATTTGTCGAAATTCATCATATGTTGGACAACGTTGATGTACAGCACGAAATTTTGCATCATTTCTTTGCCAATAAAGATCTTCTTTTGATTTTTCATTAGCAAAATTTGTTGCTAATTTACGTAAATCAATTGGTTTTATCTGTTTCGACATTACAATTATGAGGTTAATTGAATGGAAATCTAAAATAGAATGTTCTTTTTTTTTTAAAATACTTTCTTCAGATGTGCAAAGTATATGTCAGACAATTCTATCAAAATGTACAATAATCATGTTCATCATTTGACTCGTTTAGAAGAAAAAAAACAAACATGAGTTTATATAAATAAATATAATCTTTAATTCT